TATAGCTTTATTATAGCAAACGGATCCTCCAGGCTTTCAGTATAAATGATAGCTAATCCAACAATCCCCTGGCTGTGGGTTTATATTTTGTTTACAGTGTTTGGAACAATTAATACAAACTTATAGTTTAGCTGGTGAGCGTATCTATCTTAGCTTAGCATACTTGCAATGTTGGAAAACACTATCTCATGGATAGACTCATAAACCTTACCTCTGCCATGTTAGTGAATGGGACTTCTAAAAATTCATCATCATTTGACACTGACATGTTCAAGTTTACTTTTTAAACAAATAATACAAATAATGTAAGGACACAGGGTGTGATGAATGAGAGTGCTTATTAAAGATATGTTATATACTATATTATAGACTTTTATTTTTTTTTAAAGGCAGTTTTATTGTGGCAGCTTTGGGACTGGAAACTCATGATGTCATGAGTTGGTTTACATTGGCCGGAGGACAAAAACGTTTCGTTGGTCAGTTGCCCAGTCTCGAGCTTCAAGCTGTCCAGGCTTCTTTTAATCCACAAAGAAGCAGCAAATGTTGTATCAGTGGAATATATGGTTACATAGCAAACAGTGCATCTTTCACACAGTCTGCTAACCTACAATAGGGTGAAGACTCGCTGACAGTGAAAAGATCTGCGGGTGAGAACGCCTCAACCCTGTGTCCTCATCAGAAGTTCACGGCTGGATTATTACTCCTCCCTGCTCCGAAGTGTAACAAGCACCGCAATTAAGTCAACAAATATCCGAGTCTCCTGATCAAAGGGCACCCTCGCTGAGCCTCCATTTCATTCAAAATTAAATTCCTGATGTGTTTAGTCTGTATATACACCAAGGTGCTAATATAACATCACTGATAAAATAATGTCTGATTCCAAAGGATCCAGATGCCGGCTACAGTGCCAGCTGGTACTGTAACTACAGTGAAACATCACCTAATATAACCCACAGCCACAAAGCCTGAGTATTGACTGAATAGCTCTGTCCTCTCCAAACACGACTGTAGAGAGTCTGATTCGGACTGGATGTTTTCCCCTTGTTGTCTGGATACGAGTCTCGCTGTTGTTTGGAGGAATCTGAGGCGACTGTCCCCAACCTCGGTTACAGGGAGGACAAAGACTGCAAAGACCATTAAGGCAATATAAAGAGTAAACAGCAAATGACAGTGTGAGCCATCTTGGTTCAGATTCAGCAGAAACCACAGTGCAATTTTCTTGCGGATCCAGTGGCTTCCTACAGTAGATGTCAAAAGGTTGGAGATATAGACTTAAGAAAAACTAGCCGGTTGCTGCACCATCAGTTTTATGCGTGGGCCTGTAAAGTGCTTCAAACAATCTTAACAAACATTATGTCAGTAGAACATACACAATTAAACCCCCCTGTTCCTGCAACACTGTTTAGAGTGTGGGAAAAACCTGAGGGATTACTAGAGGGGGGGGCATTTTCTTAGGGAATAAGTCGCTCAGCTTGTGCATCTATTTTTGACATGTTACATTCCTTTGCGCCCAGATATTCTCACCCATCTATAAGACATTTACAACCATCTTTGATGCTCAGGCCTTGTAAGACTGGACAGAGACGGGCTGTGGTCACACACAGACATTTCTCAAGAGGTTCCGATGTCAGCTGAGAGAGACAGGCAAACATGAAAAACCTGGCTGGACCTAAAGTTAGAGCTGAGACGTTTTATGATGTATCTTCATGACAGCAGGTAACAAAAACTATCACCTTGGACTCAGGAGCGAGCTGCCAAAACCAAAACAACCTATACAGAGTTTACTGAAACGCTTTTTGATTCCAGGACAAACGGCCCAATTTTGACCCTCAAGAAAAAAAACCTCTACGACAGACCGACATGTAATCGATACTGTGTTTACAGAACATGCAGCAAAGTAGATTTACAGCGTGGACAAATAACGATGACAACATTCTAGATTGTAAATATTAATTATTATGATCTGGGAGGACACAGAGCAAATTCTATTCACTGCCAACAGATTGGACTTGACTGATACAACCTCCTCACTTAATGTTTTCACAATATGTTTTACAGTTTGACGTTATGTGTGAAGGTCTTTTGGGAAATATGCTAATTTGCTTTCTCGTTGAGAGTTAGGGTCTGTTTATGGTCTCCTAAGATGTGC